TACTACTACACCAGTAGCACATTCCGGTCTTTCCCAATACACCACCAGCACATCCCACTTTTCCAATATGCCACCAGCACATGCCAATCTGTACTACTACACCAGTAGCACATCCCAGTCTTTCCCAAACCACCACCAGCACATCCCTATCTTTACTAATATACCAGTAGCACATCCTAGTACACCAGCAACATGTCCCAGCCATTTCCAATACACCACCAGCACATTCCAATCTTTATTAATACACCAGTACCACATCTCTGTACACCAGCAACACATTCCAGTCATTCCCAGCATATCAGTGACACATCACACTCTCTCTCAATACACCAGTTGCACATTCCAGTCTTCCCAGTACAAGTATAGTCCCAGTATCTCCCAATACACAGCAACACATCCCATTACACCAGGAGCACATCCCAGTCTCTCCCAGTACACCAGTAGCACATCCCAATATACCCAGTACACTACTAGTGACATATTTTAGTATGTCAATGCACAGTACAGTTAAGAAAGGTGGGCGAGTGAATGTAGTGACTGAGAGTTAAGAAGTAAGTGAAACATGAAAAGCAAGAGGAGAATGGAAGAGAGAAAGATGTGAGGAAATGAGAAAGAGAGAGGATAAATGGCTCCACTATTCAACACAACTCTCTCCCGACTTTTTAATGTGAGAGCCCTCCAGAGCGCCCGTCATTAACTTAAAAAAAAAAATAGCCTAATTAACTGCTGAACATTTTCATTTGGGTAGATTTCCATTAATCCTCATTCGTTGGTCATCAGGAAAAATGCTGGGTGTGCTTGGAGGGTGAAATGGGTCAATTACCTGTTGGTGTTTGTTGGCTCGCTTGATTCGGAGGCATACTACTGTAGTTTTATTGCTTGGAGGGTAATGGTACAATAATGGGTGAGGAGTTCATTGTTTAGTGTGTAAGAGAGATTAAATGAAGGGGGGTCACAATTTGTGTGTTTAATGGTTGTATGGCTTGGGAACATAATTTTTAGCGTGTTTGGCGGGTTATATAAATGTGGATCTTAGTGTTCATTATGCTTGAATAAAAACAATGGAAAGAAACTATACAATTTCGTTCAGTAGATGGCTAACAAATATCACCAGCTGTTTAACAAGAGGCAGCAGGTTATAATGATGGCACTGAAGGCTGCATACTTAGGACTAGTATGACTTGCTGACAATTAATGGGTTCACTAACTCACCAAATTACTACTGTATAACAATATTGACTCAATGTATCCCTAGTTGACTTGTTTGTAATCCCCTCTAAATTTCTTTGACATCCCCTGTATGATTTTTTTTTTAACTTCTCTTCCTTTGTAGGATATAGCATCACATTCTTTCAGCATTCACCGCCACACTACTATTGTAGATGTAAGGCCACTCCCACATACTGTACAGTATAAGCATTACAATAGATACTTCAGGTGTTCATCAAGTACTAGCTGTTGGTTCAATTGATTGTTTGCTACCAATTAATTTTCTTTTGAGGATATAAACTTTGTTTTATAAGTGCTCTAATTTACCTTGATACTGACTGATTAAATTTCTCTTTTTTTTCTATATGTATTCACATAAAAAATAAGGCATCACATTTATGTTTATATAGCAAAGAAACTCGTGTATCTGTACTACCGTTTCTGAATAAAGTCAGTTTCATTTGTCTCCTAATTGTACTCCTATTAAATGCTAGCTGCACCTTTATTCACATACATTACTACATATTCTTCACGCACCTAAATGTGACTTCCATAACCAGTAACTCTACTCCTTCCTGCAATATTTCATAAGTGTAATTAATCACACTCCTAACTAACTATGTAGCACTAATGTTTCCAAAAATTAATCAAGCAACACAAAACTCAATTCCCTCAAATGCATCACCTATCACTTGAGGCAATGACTGTGTGTAGCCCTTCACACACACACAAGTACATTATAAGCAACACAGAGATATTTTACTTGAATTTCCAAATGTGTACTGTATTAAATCACTTCAGAAACATTACAAATCACTTTTACACCTGCTTTCCCAAACTGGAAATACAGTCGGCCCTTCACATACGCGGGTTTAGCATTCACGGATTTGCAAATACGCGGATTGCCCCGCCGGAGGAATATTCTGTACATTGAAGTACATTCAAATCGCGCGCCATTCAACTCGCGCGCGGCACCGAACACGGGACACCGCCCGCTCCCGCAACCTCACACACGCACGCACGCACGCACGCACGCACGCACGCACGCACGCACGCACACACACACACACACACACATAGCTCTCCCTCACTCAGTCAGTCTCGCTGTAACCACGCTTGTGTTGACATCAGCATTGTAGTTGCAAAAATATTACATTTCCGTGAATGTATTATATCAAGCACAGTATGAATAGAATATCACTAATATAAGAGTATTTTAACCGAAAACTACTAAAAAAACGAGTAACATATCTTGAACATCGGAAGGTTAGGTAAAGTCTCTTGTTTTCGTCATGTATTTTATCCTATTTTACATTGAAATACATCACGTTTCAGCAAAACTACTATTTATTTCTGAGAATATATTCATTCAGGCACAGTTTAGGTAAAATATACATGTGCTGTAACATTTTTTTAATTGAAAACGATTCGAAAAACACATACCCTCTAGCCCTGTTCAAGGAGAAGACTGGGAGGAGCTGTTTGGTGCTTAAGACGATGACAAGGAAAATGATTTTGATGGATTTTAATGAAAATATTCAGAAAGACCCTGGCACTGTCAAGGAAAGTGGCTGCTGAAGGCTTCCGGGACATGGCAGAGGACGAGATTAGGGAGCTAATTGAAGAGCACGACACTGAGCTGACCGAGGAGGATCTACAGGAGTTAGTAGACTCAGGCAAGGAAGAGGAAGCGAAAGGGAAAGAGGATGAGGAAGAGCACCAAGAAATAACGTTGGAGAAGTTGGGGGAGATGACCAGGAATATTGAGGCACTGAAAAACCTGGCCTATAGTATGGACCCCTCCATGGTGCGTGCCCTGAAATTCATGCGAGGGATGGATGACGTTTTCGCTCCATACAAAAACATCATGGAAGAAATGAATGAAAGAGACGACAACTCCCCATCACCATGTTCTTTGATCACCGAAGGAGAGATTTAACACCAATCACTGGCGGCAGTGAGGAAGCAGCTGAATCCACCGTCGCCCCCACTTCACCACCCGTTATGGAATTGAATGCCCGATGACCCCCGTCCTGTCGCCGAGGATAGGAACTGTACAGTAAAGTGAAGTTTTTATCTCTTTTTTTTTTAATAGCTTTTCTTGCCATGTTTATTGTTTGTAAAAATGTACAGCACAGTACAGTTCAGTACTGTACATAGGAAGTGGAGGTGCAGTTATTCACAAAACATTTGTGTTTGTTGTCGGCAGTAGTGACGGTGGAGGTGGAGGAGGCGGAGGAGGGAGCGAGTTGGGAGGAGTGGTGACCTTGGACGCGGGAGCAGGGACGAGATGCCAGCCAGTACATTACGGGTGTATTAATTGTTTTTATAGCTATTTTTGCATTTTAATATTAAATACTGTACATTACGTTTCAACAAAACTACCATTTATTTCTGAGAACATGGAAATGTAATATTTTTGCTGAAATGATGTACGTATTACAGTGGCAAGTGACGAAAGCAATGACTCGCTTTCTTTCGTTCAAAAGATGTTACCGTAATCGCTTTTCGAATGGTTTTCAGTTGTGGGATTATAAGGCTAATGATAGGATAGAATATTATTGTAATACAGTACAAGTACAACAGTTTTTTAACTGAAAACCATTCGAAAAGCAATTACGGTAAAATCTTTTGAACAACGAAAGAAAGCGAAAGTCATTGTTTTCATAATTTTATCCCACTTTCCACTGTACAGTAATATGTACATCATTTCAGCCAAAATATTACATTTCCATATTTATTTCTGAGAATATATTCATTCAGTCACAGTTAAGGTAAAATATACTTGTGATGTAATATTTTAATGAAAATAAGGTATCGTAGTTTTCTTTTGTATCAAATTTAATTAACAAAGATTGATGTTTCAAATGTAATGAACAAAAATTTATGTACAGTATCTATAAATAAACTTTAACAAATGAATACTTTGTTTTACATCGTCCTGTGTATACCATACCATGCATTTGGCTACTTTGGGCTAGCTATGATGACGCAAGAGATCTGCCCTGGCGACTGTACCGACACTCACAGCTGGTGGTGCGTTGGTGCGTCGTTTCCATTGTTTACTGGTAGTTACTGGTAAATATTTTTCAACCTAACGAAACTATTACCCTTTTAGAGGTCGACCCCCAATTTTTTGCAAAATAATTTGGTCTTAAAAACTCGAACTACACACAGGTATATACGGTAAATAAGGACATGGGGGGCCAGGGGTTTTTTAGGGGGGGGGGCAGCAAAAGTACACGGATTTTTAACATTCACGGGTATCTCTGTTACCTAACCCCCGCGTATGTTAAGGGCCGACTGTACTATAAATCTTAAATTTCATGTTATTGACTGTTTAGCTATATATAGTCTATGAACATCCTTCTTATTCCAACCATTCATAAAAAAAGCAAGTGATAAATATTCATGTCATAAGAAACCTTTTTCAGCAGAGATCCCACAGTACATACAACCCTGGCAATTGAAACACCTAAACCAAATATAAAAAACTGCAATAATAAAAAAAAATGACAGGGCATTGGTAATTATTTTGCTACATCGATGCCTATTAAATATGCGATCCCAGTGACTTCAAAATTTACTTGTTAAGTAATATACCATCGGTAATTGGTCAGATTATTTTTGCCTTTGACACTGGTTTTTGAGGACAGATAAACTAAAACTTTCCCTGCAGAGTACATGATATCTACTGAGTATCACTATGTCAATATGTGTTTAATGTTGAGGTCAGAAAAAAGTCCTACAACACAATCTAGCTCACGGTGAAGTAAAGATCCTGCACTTACCTTATCGGAGTCTGTATTGGATGAGGAGTAAGAGGCAAGAGAATTACGGTCAGTATTCTCAGCACTCTCGTCTAAGGACTCCTCCATGTCCCTGGGAATGAAAAGGGAGATGTTACTAACACTATACAGTACAGTATATGATAACAACCTGTACAGTATACTCAAGCCAAGGTATTCTCAACAACTATAGGGTAAAAATCTTTCTTGTTCATGATGTAGTTCATAAGAGGTAGGAGTACAGTACTATGTGAAGCATATAAAAATGCATTACTGTGCTACATTAAATAACACAAAGAAAACTGTTCAGTCATTCTTTTGATCAAAATAAAATTTTACTACTTCCTGTACAGTACTTGTATACGACATCCATTTATCACTTGCAAAAAATTCTCCTTGTGTAAAAAAGGAGAGTTGTCTGAAGAATACAAAGCTCAGATATTCCACCCTTTGCTTTATTTCAGTGATATGACTGTCATAGCTGATCTTCTGCTCTTTGTGCAGGTGAGCTAAATATCTTGAAAAATTATCATTAAATTAATTTAAAAACAAGCACTGAAAGTCCAATGACAGCATTTACAGAAGTGTGGTATAAGATACTGTACATGAAAAAATTAAATTTCTACAAGGAAACATATGTTTGCAAAACACAATTTAAATCTAATACTGTTTACCTATTTATTCCATTCCCAAGTACAGTACATGGAGTGAAAATTTCATGTAAAAATTACAGTAATTTGAAATTATTCTCAACTTACATTTAGTTATACATGAATTAGGGATCCCACATTACTTTATTGGAATACTTCCATACTGTTCATCTTGTTCAACAAGTAGCTTTGTTAACAAGATTTCCATCTTCATCAATTCTTTCATTTTAATAAACAAGTCTTCTCATTTACACAGAACATTTTACCGGCCTTTCACTCAGACACAGTATTCTCTTCCTCCTACCTCTCACTGTACTAGTGTATTGTTAATGATCAAAAGTGCTTTGCAATACGGATATTTATGAAGAACAACGAGATGCATTACCTGCTGGCTCGGTTCTGCTTCGGAGTCTTAGCAGGCGATTTGGCCATAGAGAGAGGGAGAGCAGAGCTGAGGTATGTCTCCTGGATTACCTCTCTAAGTTTCCTCACCCAAGTTTGTTTCACTTCTAAAGTGTTGGCTCGGAGGATCATCTGTAAAAGTTAATGTTATTCTTTAGCACAAATATTATTATACTGTAAAATAAAATACCATGACACAGTAAAGTATATGTAATTCTATTTGGAGTAATATTATGCTGTATAACTTGTTAAATTTACTTAATAACAGACATATTAGGAACCACCCTATCTCTATTCAGCCATAAGCTTATCAAACACAGCTACAATATTACTCACCTTGCCCTCACTGACTCCTGTTCGTGCAGTCCACACAGCAAATTTACATTCATCTCCTTCAATGTGCTCTGTGACACCAAGTTCAGATGTAACAAGACGATTCTTATAAGCGTACTTTGTCTTGTTACCGCTGGGATCACGTACTTCTTTACAGAATACCAGATACAGATCAAACAAGAATATGTGTCGGTCACGACCCTTTCTAATTAGTTGCCGAGGGTCCCACACCTAGAACAAATATTAACAATTAAGAATTATATATGTGAAGTTTTAAAAGTTACATGTGATTAAAAACTCAAATAAAAATATAAGTACCATAGCTTTAGAATTGTTTCCAAGAAATTTTCCCAAATGTACAGTAAAAGAATGTCCTTGTTAAGACAACTCTTATCATTTCCAAACATACTGGATTTGCTTCTCTGGGCAAGCATGTAGCTATTGAATCATTAAGATAACAGCAAATACCTGATTTTACGTAAGGTCAGACCCTAAAGTCGGGTATTGCAATTTCTCCTATTAATAGTAATTAACTAACATTTGTGACAGCAAAAATGCAGGTTTCCTTCAAGAAAAACTTTTAAAAACTCTTAACTACTGCAATTTGTTTTGGTTCATATCTTAACAATTTAAAATTATAGCTTCCTTTTTCTTCCTTTTAAGCATTTATAATTTCATCTTTAGTTCTTTACTATATTTCCAGACCATAATACATACACCTCTCTACAAATATCCATAATTTTGTCTACAGTCAGCTCTTCTTATAAATACAAATCTTTGTGACCATCCTGGTTGACCAACATGTACTATTGTTAACTGGAAACTTAAACATAACATTTAGAACTAAAAGTTGTACACAAACAAGGAAATAATGTGAAACATGTTAGTGAAAAGTCTCTCTCTATGTACAGTACAGTACAGGTATCTCTAAAGACAAAGTTGAGTACGTACTATACACAAATTGGTAAAGCAATACCTACGGTAACCCTTTCACTATATGAACACCCCTTTTAATATTTTATATGGTTAATACAGAAGTTTAACCGGATTTAAAGTGCAATACAGTAACCTAAAATAAGTTGAAAACTTAAAAATTGACAATGTACACATAGCATTTAAGAACTTAAGGATATATAGTGTGTTTACAGTATTTCTTAGGGGAAAATGAGGTTTTCCCGACCCTAGAAATTTTTGTACTGCATATAAAAATATATTATTTTCATGAAGAAATAAAGGTATTTAAAGTAAGTAAATGATTAATCTATGCTCTTACAACTGACAGAAGAAATAATATATTTTCAAAACCCAAGAACAATAAGAATCATAAGCAAAAATACAATAAAATACCTCTGCCATTTAGGGGTATGGCTACAGACTTTGTGAAATAACAACTGTGCATTAATCTAGCTTATTGGCTTTAAGCATAGAAGTTAGTACAGGGATAAAAAGGTGGACAGACATAATTTATATGAAAAATTTTTGAATGGGTATTGTAATGACAACAGTAAACACAAGTTTTCTAACCTGGAAAGTATCTTGAAGAATAACTTCTCCCAAAGAGTCAGGAGGAACATCACAGCCATCAAGCATTGACAAATGAAGAGCATCATTGGCCTTCTTTGGGACATTCTGCATCACCTCCAGCCCATCCTTGATTTCTCCCTGATTTTCATCCTCACAACAGGACAAAAGTTCTTTTAATAACAACTGATATTTGGTTATACGCTGCACTGGCTTGATCAGGTAGGCTGGGATGGGATGTTCTATGTTGTGCTTACGTTGAATATCTTCATAGAATGTACCAGCATGACTGACTAGCACACGATTAGACTCTGGCTGAGCCTTACAATACTTAACATATACATCAAATTGTGGTGCCCAAGTTACAAAGCAATGGCCCACATCTTCTGGCATACACTGATACTTTTCAATCTCTTGAAGGAAAATGTTTTTATGGAACTTCAAAATGTCCTCCATATTACAGAAAATAATGCCATCTTTACCTTGCAGTCCCGATGGAGCTGAAGGTAGCCGAGTTTCAAGAAGGTAAGTTCTAGTACACACTTCAAGGTCTTTAACATAAACTCTCTCTGTCTGAAGTAACTCCCTCATGATAAGCTCTTTCTTCCTAGCTGATTTACGTTTTTCTTCACTAATTTCTTTATTTGCCACTTCTGCCACTGACACCACTGCTCCAACTTTATTTTCTAAGGATGGGTCACTATGACGATCTAGAGAAAGTGAAGCTTTACTATCCTCACTAGGAATTCCCAAGCGACCTTCCAACTGCACTCGGTACCTATCCATACGTCCTGAGAAGTTTTTGTATGCCAAGTCAACTCGTGCTACCCAATCCTTGATTGCAGAGGCATGCGCATGGCCTTTTTCAACAAGGGAATCTGCCAAGAGTAATAATAATTTCACTCGCTCTCTAGTGTCCTTCGCTGTACCTTTAAATTCATTATGTTCCTTTAGTAACTTTTCAGTTTCTTCTTTGGTATCACCCAGATTAGTATGTGTGGACAAGTACATTTCACCAGTTTCCATAATCCAATCTAAAGCTTGCTTGGCAGATCCCTCAAAAAGAACAAACTGCTGACACTGATCCAATTTCTTCTTTTTCTGAGTCCAATGGTCAAGCACTTTATTCTCTTGTGCCATAAGATTCTCTAAGATATCCCTAACTTTGGTCTCTGGCCCTCTGAGCCCTAAATCACCCTTCAAGTTATAATAGTTCTGAGATCGATTAGAATATTTCAAAAAAGTTTCTGCAGTGCGTCTGGCAAGAGTACAAGCTTTCAAAAATCCTTCCTTTTGTTCCTGGTGTTTATTAATTAAAAGCGATATTGAAGCTGCTCGATCTGACCCTGCTTGACCTCCTTGACCTGTCCCCTCTTGTTTTTGTTGTGGTTGTTGTGGCTGCTGTTGTTCCCCTTGACTGGATGTAGCACCTGGGGCTGCCACCTCTTTCTGGCACCAATCTTCATCTCTCCGATAATCACGTTCCAAACTTTCCAACACAGAGCACACTTGCTCGGCTGTTTTGTAGAATGTGATTGATGCTTGGACCAACTTGTACCTGAAACACATTAATGTGAATTATTCTGTTCACTTTAGAAATCCAAAGAGAAAATAAGTCACAGTTAACTAAAATCATAAAGTTTAACACTGAAATAAACGAGTTGATTCATTACTTAAAAAGGGAACAATAAAGACCTTATGGAGATTAACAAGAAACTAAAGATTTTAAACTACATTTACATTAATAATAAATGTGAAGCAACTGAAAGAATATCTGAAAGTAAATAAGATCACACTAATCACTACATAAACCTTCCCACAAGTTCAAAGTCAGGGAGCACATGTCAAGTCTTCAAAAAAATATTTTGTTTACTGCCATGTGGAGTAGTCATGATATTTTTTTCCTGTTTTAACAGTTTCAACCCTTCCCATAATGCTTGTGAAATTCAATTCCTGCCTCAATTTGTCACCTGTTCCTTACTAAAAACTTCCTCTTGATTATTTTCTACATCTACAGTTTGACCCATGAAGGTGTTGTTAAAATGTTATTACTGCGCTTCAACAACTATGGTCTTTAAGTGCATGACAAGGTTAGTAATTACACTAGTCCATCCAGTGGTACCCAAACTTTTTTACTTAACACCTCCTTTTGGTTTTTACAAACCCTTATGCCTCCCAACCCCAATTTCTTTAAAACTAATTTCAGCAACTTTTAACCAATTTTACACCTTGTACTCATATTTCTTACTGCTCAAGATCAACTCATAATAATTTTATCCATGTATCTCATGCATATGGAGAAGATTGATATATACAGTACTTAGAAAAAAATTTATGTTACACACAATGCTGAATAAGACATTAATTTTTATTTATTTTTCTCATATGGCCTCACACCCCTCCCTGTACCAACTCTGTATCCCCAGTTTGGGAAACACTGTTTTAAAGACTTAATTTGAATGAACCAGAAAATTCTACAATATACTTTCTGAATATTTTGTAATCACCTTCTCATGTTTAAAAGATCATATTTCTCAGAAGGAGAAAACAAACATTTTCTCCCCCCAGCCTCTGGCAGCATTGTAATAAAAATATCTTAAAGGCTCTTACCTGTCTTCAGCACAAGTCACAAGTTTCTCCCATCTCTTGGTGACATTAGACTCTATCTCCATCACTTGCTCTGGACTATAATGCTTGGCCATTAATAATGCTGAAGAACGCTGGTGGATCTGTACTACAGCAGCATGGGTTTTTTCTATAGCAACCTATATAGAAGCAAGATATAAAGGAAGCGTGAAGTTAGGCATAATATTTATCAAAACATTCAACTACAGATACCTGTGAATACCATATAATATTTTACTATACACCATTAACATTAACATCATTAAAATGCAGTACATCACTCTCATTAAACTAGCAGGAAAAACTGTTGATCACACACGAAATTCATGAGTGAAAACTACAGAAGAAAAAAATTATCAAAAATAAAAAGAGGTAAGAGGCAATTTCACTAAAACATTACTGTATAACAAATAAGGTTGAATTCACTCGTGTCCTCATTAAAATCTTTCACAGCAAGTGATCAGTACACAGCACAAAATTCTTGATAGTGAGACTTATTACAGCTTGTCTCAGCCAGAGAATAAGTGTGCACAAATGAGTGTATTCCAAACTTGGAGGAAGATGTAAAAGAGGATGAACTAAGTTGAAGTAAAATTTACAAAACACAGACAATGAAAAGGAAAATTGCTTATGTTGTAGTTTGTTACTCTAAACGTGGTAAACAAATGATCAGGAACAACTCACATTAAGATGCAATACAAACTTCTCTTCATTTAGTTTTCTCTGACATCTTACCACCATTTCTTCTATATTTGCTAAATTTATTACTTTTCCACCTGATTATATCAAGTAAGTCATATGTCCCAGAGTGCAGTATGGTGGTTCAAAAATACTGTACTTTCCTTTAAGCCAGTCTGTATTTATACTATTCCAAGTATAGCCCCCCCCCCCCCAAGTTTGCGGATTTTTACCTGGCAGATCTCGGTTATTCGCGGATGACACCCTGGATGTACCCAATAATGTCTGTGGCTGGGACAGGGAGCCATTCGTTCTAGAGACAGTAATTTCCTTTACCTATACAGTACTGCAAATATGTGTGAGTGTGTGTGTAGACACACACACAAAACACATACAAATAAATAATAATTGAAAAACACTCAAATAATCAGAAACAAATTTATAAAAAATGTGAGTCTACCCTCAAGTACGTTCTCTATTACAGTACTTTATTAATAGAGAATGGACTTATGGGTAGACTCACATTTTCAATAAATTTTGTTCTGATTACTTGTGAGAGGATTTTCCAATTATTATTTCTTTTTATGTGTTTTGCACACACACACACACACACACACACGCACGCACGCATGCATGCGCACATGCGCACACACACACACAATACTACAGGTAAAAGAAATAAGTGTCCTAAGGGCAAACATATAAAGGGAATATACATTTCTTCATACGCAAGTAAAAATGTAACCCCCCTCCCCCCCTCCAAAGCTGCAAATGTTATGGCAGATTTGGCAATTCTCAGCCATTTTGAGAACCTAATCCCCGTGAATTTGTGGGCCCCCTGTACAGTACATAGCCACACTCCCCAAACAGTTAAACAAAAGTAATTTTTCTGTCCATTCAACTACATTCCACATCAAAACTCCATCTTTCAAATTACAGCTTTGTTTCCATTTTTCATCTTAAATATGATATCAGATTCCCAAAACTACATTTCTATTGACTTTTCTGATTTGTTTGCAATTACCTTTAATGGTCCCAAATACTGTATCTTTATTGCCATGCTTTCAACATAACATAACATAATACGGCACTGTATACCTTATCCAATACACTATCTTAAAAATGTTCTGGATAAAAAAATTTAGTTCTTTAGCTTTCCCCAAATTAGCATTAAATAATTATCATATTTTACTAGCTTACTTCATCAACATAGGCTATGTTCCTTCATAAAGCCAACAACAATATCTTTTTATTCTCTTGACCTCACTCGTGACTTACCTGATAACATGAGCCACAATAAACTTCATACCAACCCCAAAAAATGTTTTTTAAATAAAACACACAAGACCAAGTTCCTGAAGAAAGAAGTTATTTTTATTTAAATATAGTTTAAGGTAAACATTTACTTTGATAAACACCCAAGTAAAAGCCAAGGATAAGGTTACGAGACTAACCTGGAACTGTTCATGATCGTGTGACAAGGCGTTTGATTCTGCAAAAGAACTGGGAATGGTAAAACTTGCTGCCAACACAGCTTCTCCATTCCTGATCCAACTGATTACCTGTACAGTGGTAAAATATAGAACATTAATGCATTAGAAAAGTTAATATAAAAAATCTAAAATGGCCAGTAAGCTGGTAAAATTATAAAATAAAAGTAACCACCTTCTTAACTTTCAAACATTTTCAAGCTAAATGAAAGTTGGGTAGAAACAAGAGCAAATAAACACAAAAATTTTTCTTCATAAACTGTCATTCACTCAACCTTAATGTTATACATGCAATGTTTTACTGTAAAGTCCCAAATCAACTCTCATGCCACACTCTTCACCCATTGTGATATCCATCCCCCGTCACATCTGCTACACACCACCAACTTATAAGGCACTAATAAAGATTGGCACTCACTTGGTTTGCTTCACCCTCAAACTGAAGGAGGTGAATACACTGTTCGAGTTTTATTCGTTTCATATCCGTCAGAACTTCTATATCCATCTGCCGTTCATGAATACATTCCAGCAACATAGAGACTTTGGCATTTCCATCTGACTCTGCATCAGCACGAATCTGAATTCCAGAGGTCTCCAGTAGCTGTACAGAAAATGATACCCAATAAATTGCAGAATAAAAGAATTGATTAATGAATAATTATATATAATTTAGTGAATGAAGTTTATATAAAATTTATATACCATACAAAGGAAACTAGGGAGACATAAGAAGTAAATAAGAGATTGAAAACCAAGAATGTAGTACAGTAATATTATCATACGAGGGATATTGTGTAGCTTAAGGTTATAAGACAGTGCTGTACTGTGTTCTAGTGTGCATGGGGTCATCAAAAATAATCATTAATTTATTACAGAATATTTAAGGATAAATTTCACACCTATAAATTATATACAGGTATTGTACATGATACACATACTGTATACTGTACATAAAAAGGAACAGACTTTCTTTTTACCACACTTTTTTCTGGGTACCAGATGACTACAAGTTTACAAACTCACTACAGTATAGTACTTTAGCTTTCTTAAAAATACTTGAACTCTAGAAATAACTATAAGAACTCCATTTACAAACTTACTTGCAGAAGATCTTGTCCACTTTGCAGCACTTGATATGTTGCATTTTGCATATGTGAAGTAGAGTCATTATGTAGTACTAACATTTGTTCTGCCTCAGTAATGTCTCGCCCAAAGTCTGTGCTCTGTAGCTCCTCTGCCCAGAGATCTAACTGACCAAGTAGCTGTAATATGACATTTAAGTCTTAATTAAAGCCTTAAATGCATATTACAGTAATCTAAATATTTCAAAATCACAGAAAATGCAATTTAAATCAGTTCAGATTACAAAAAGATCTTATAACATAATGGTATAGATACTGCAAAATTACAATACCAGAGTTAATATAAGGCATATCACTAAGTGCATATAAAATGTAAACTTCTGGTAGTAAAGACTGAGACTAATGTCTATGTACAGGTATTACAAAACTAATCAGTAAATTTGTTCTGGGTAGGTACCAGTGTGTAAACACTTACTTTCACCCACTTCTGCCTTTACACACCCCATTATCCCCAGCTCACATCTACTTTATCCAAAGTGTGCAGAGAAAAACAAAAGTCCTGTTGCTCTTAACGCTTCATGAACCCTGAGATTAGGACTAATGGCTGGAAAAGTGCATTTGTGTCAACTGCTTCAGTTTCATGAGTCTAAATCTCAGAGTTCATGAAGTAGCAGGAGAGGTGACAGGACTTTTGACTGTGGCTGTATACAGTATATATCCTTCGAAATAATCATAATCGTAAAGATCATAAACTTTAACAATGAAGATTCTTACTTCTACAGAATCTCTTTGGAAGAGTCTCAACTGCAGAAGCAGATCTAGACGAAGTTTGCGTGTAGCCCATAGATTCTCCAATTCTTCACGTTTTTTGACTAGTCTTTCCAATGCTTCTTCCACACCTTCTACAGATCCACATCCAGTTTCAGCAGTTACACTTGTAGTTCTGGAATGAAGAAAGATCAAGTTAATCTACTTGTCTTATTTTCTTTTATTTTTAAAAGTACCTTGAATTTTAAATTGGTTGACTGGAGAGTCACCATAATATGAACAACAATGTATGAAAAACTGTCTGTTTTTGTGGGTTTCATCTCTTTAAATAGGTTCCTGTATGAAAACAACTTGTAGCAAATCAGTTTCATTGCTTTCTGCTTTTCTCTATTGTTTATATTTACTTACAAAGAGATGATACTGAGCCAGGTGAACAACATCAGCTTCAGTACAAACAACTAATACTGTACTGTATACAGTATATTTAAAATATACCTGAGTTCATTAAGTAGCCCTTCTCCCTCGTGAGTTGTGGACACGCAGGCATCGAGAGTAGAATCCCGTTGTGTTGTCATTTGAGCCAAGAGTCTCTCTCCTGCCTCAACTGAGTCAACTGTCTCATCTACCCTTTCCTCACCTTCCAACTCTGAGCTTAACTCCTCTAACCACGACAACAGCTGTTAGAAGAAAGATATATCAATGTATTATTATGATGATATCAAATCATATTACAATACACCGAGGGATAGACAAAGAATTATTAAATTACTGTACAGTACTTGCATGTAATTGTCATGCAACTGTCACAAAATACTTTCATATATCCAAAAGTTGATGGGAGAATGCTAAGTTCTGTCAGTAACAATACTCCATAATCATAGGGGATTTAAATTTGTTTTCCATAATTTCATTTCCTTAAAGCACTTTACCTTTAGATCCTCTGATATGCAACTTTTTTACTATGAGGTGGTATTGCTTGAATTACGAACACACACACATACATACATGACTACAGTATTTTTTTGACCTCTCCTTTTATCTTAGTCCCATCTGATGTATACAGAACAGCAAAGAACCTATTTTTTCCTGTAATCTTTGTGTCTCCTCAAATAGAATATAACCAATATTCCAATATGTATTGACTGTTGGTAATATGCTACTTCAAAGAATGTCATATGCATGACATCATTTCAATTCTATATCCTTAACACTGTCTTCATTTTCACCTGCATACTATGTGACAAGGTACATACTGTATTCTTTAAAATAGGCAATCCCCATAAGGTGTACTGTAAAATCAACACTATTATGACAATAATACATAAACCTTACCTCCTTCTCATGAGTATAAAATAAAACAGCCATGTTTAGCAGTCGATGACGCTGCTGTACCCTGGTTGCAAAGCTTGCAATATGCGAGTCCAACCTTTGAGCAACATTATAAATCTCCTCGGGATTGCATTCCCCAGTGTGAGCAAGTTCCTCTGCTGCTTGCAGTAGTTTTTCAGCGTTTGTATACGTATTCTGAAAAAATTACGGAAAAAATATATATACTTTTGTATATATCTTGATAAAATCACACAGGGAAAATGGAAACAATGAAGCACCTTAGCTATCGTCTTTCATTGTGGATCTACATGAAATATGAAACTTACAAGTCCCTGTATATATATATATATCGCGGTTAACGTTCGACCGAACAACGTCCGATCGCATATACGTCCGTCCCCACTCCCCTAAAAAAAAAAATCCGTAACGCCTGCTGTACCATCACTCCACGACCCCCTGACAGAGACACAATGATCCTCCCCATACTGGTCAGATATTATGTGTTAAAGGAATATGCTTCCTTGATTAGGCTTTTTTTAAACATTTGCCTCCAAGTGTAATGTTAACCTACATCTATTGAGGATAAAATCTTTCACCCACAAATTGACAATAACACATTTGCTGTAATCAGACATATCTAGCTGCCTCAACAATTGCAACTCCAGTTGCAATTGGGGTTGCAATTTTAAATTCTGTGTCATTACTAAGAAATAAATAAGTGTCTGGTGTACTGCACTCTAGGATTAAGAGAAAACGGATGACTCAGGCGTCCTGAAGTGAGAGAAAACAGACTTCTTTGACGGGGCAATCAAATAAAGAAAGACATAGCTACATGTTTTGTGGACTACCCACTTTACATTATCCTTTTCATCACTTTGTAATAAACCTAGCCATGCCTATGTGTGTTTATGATATTTACCATAACATTATACAGTATATATACATATTAAGTGGGTCTAAATGGTTGTTAAATGGGAAACTTGGGGATCGGTGCCTGGAACCCCCATTAGAATAAATCCGATAGGTTTATGTAATTTCGGACAATGTCCATTTCGGTTAACATCACGTTTCCCAGAACGTATCTTGGACGTTAACCGGCGCATGGCTGTATATATATATACCTCATTAAGACAAGTTTATATTTTATAAGAATAGTTTAATTAATAATCCATAGAAAAACATACAAGACTTCAAAGTTGAAATAAACAACTGTTTCCTGTGTAGAAGTAAACCAAGACCCAAACAATAAATAAGTAGGATCCCAGGCATATCATTGAAAGGTGCCAAATGATATCTTGCCTGCAAATGATACATACGATAATGACAAAGTTACCTCATCTGACATTGGTTTAGTAAGTTACTGCCACCTTATACATCATGCTTATCAGCAGTCTCCACAATCTCTTAACTAATTACTATATCATCAATTAATGTACAGTATACTGTATTTAATTTTTAGGTTCTAAAAAGTTATGGACCCCCTGGGAACCAAGTTTTCACCACTTGGTGATTACCTAAGACTAGCACTAGCTAAGATATAAGTAAAGTTCATACTATACCTGTGCTACATTTTCAAAGTGTTCGTGACTCTTCTGATACATTCGAGCTTTGGAAAGGTTGCGGCCAATGCCAGGATTTTTATGCAGAAACACTTCACCATGTGTCTGCAGCCAATCAAGAACCTATTAAAAAGAGAAAATTTTAATGTAGAATATTAATATACAGCAGCTCCCACCCAATCCACAAGGTTACATTTCTACAGATCCTACATACTGCAACTACAGTACACGTACCTTGAAAACATATTGAAAATAAGGTTGCATTCCAAGGTTTCAAAATATTACCCTAAAATTCACTTAAGCCCTCAAAGTCAAAACTATTATTTTTACTTGATGTGATTAAGTGTTTCAGTCCTTAGAGTCTAAGGTCTTACAGAGCCATAAACTGAATGGGAATACCGAGCCATGTAACGTCTCTCCATTATCATATCCTTTATAAATTTGCAACGAGGTTTGAAAATGTTAAAGTAGTCTCCTCATCATCAGATCTTCTCAGATTGGTTTTGGGAGAGAAGGAAAGCTACACTCTCTCAGTATTCAGCCAATGAGTGAGTTTGTTCCTCCCAAGGAAATACCTCTTTTAGCAACCCAGGGTGTGTTAAAGTTCATCTCAGTGTCAGCTTTATGCTCCCATTGTAGACATCTTAGAATATCAAAATACCTATAGGTGAACCAATTTGTAATTTCACTTCTCCAAACAGAATACCTCTAGGATGTGATCCTGGATCTGTCACAGTACAGTACTTACCACTGGTAATATTGATATTTTCCAGTCATTTTACAATGTTCCTTCATTTCATGCATACAATTAAAATGTATGAGTGTTATTTCAGACAAATAAATTTGAAATAAATCCTGCAAAACAAATTAATTCAATACTGTACCTGCTTCACATCCTCTTGAAATAAACGAAGTGCCAATCTTTGGTGCAACTTGAGCTTCTTGTCTGACCATCTCTGTTCAACTGCCCTGTGGTGGCCTAATATTTCATGAATAACAGCTAGAACATGACTAGCACCCTCAGAATAATCAGCAGCTGGGTTTCCACTTGTTCCAGGACCACGCTGTTGCTGGTGCGGTCCACCGCGATATACAACCTTGCCATCAGGGGTCACCTAAGAGACAAGAAAGTATGGGTTAGCCAAGCATGATGAACATTTGGAGATTAAGAATATGTGATCAAATGAATACAGAATGACTGAAGAGCACAAGAATGATGGCAAGAAAGATACAGTAATGTGAATGTAAGGAAAGAATAATCATGCAATCAAGAAGTTCAGTCATGTCCTTGTGCCACTTATCATAAAACCAAAGTCATCTGTACAGTAGAAAATAAATAAAAAATCTCAATGTCAATGATGTCAGTCAAATATTAATAAGTAATACATGTGTGGAATATTTTAAGAATTCATTATTTCTGTTGTTTATCGCCTTCTTTCCTTTAACCTTATTCTGTAATTAATTAACTAGAGTAGAACATAAGCACTAAGCCTCCTTACAAAAAAAAGTAAAGTATGTATAGGATAATGTAAATCAATACTATGAGAGGAAAATACATGTTCGGTGACTGGACACTACAAAATAATGTACTATACTCTAGAATTGTGACTGGGAAAAAAACAAACACTATACGGTATGAAGTAAAAGTACTTAGATTTGACCCCCATGGAACCTGGAGTAGGTTAGATCTTTGAAAAATTTGGTTACTGTACATAGATACAGTACTCTCATATACTGTACAGTACAGTATAATGAACCATTAATGTATATATAGCAGGCACCAAAAATGTTACACCTACTAATGCATGATCATGGCCATTAATTATTTTTTGGGTGGTGGTGGTCGGGGGGGTTTGAATTAGGAGTTCATATAGAAACATGTTTTGTTAAGTTCAATGGTCTCAATTGTAATTCCTTTGTGGTAGAAATATCAATCACATATTGTTACTTTGACAATGTATGTGAGAAAGATCAGGCATGAGATGGATTCCTACATGATGTTATATGTTGTATGACCACATCCATATGTTCAGCTACTATAAGCAACACAAAACTCCCAGGAAAAGCAGCAACTTGTGTGCTACCAGTATGCAGTTGGCATATTTTGTGATATATTGCAATATATTTCTACCTGATGCCTAAATATAATTCCTTTGTTGGCATTTATATATGCATGCCACCCTCCACACTGTACGTCCCAAGGATATGTGAAACTGAGAGTTTCTACTGTTTGAACACACATACACACAGTACAGTAGAGAGTACTGTAAATATATATGCTCCAAAAGTTAATAAAACAATACACTCCAGTATGGGGACTGACCCTACTTTCTGCTGTTATAGCAGGAATAGGGAAGCTAAACTTTCAAATTCTCTAATCTGCCTCTATACAACTACAGTACCATAACAATTCCAACTCATTTCACTGTATAAAGGATATGCTTCTAATTATTTTGTCTACTTTCCTTTATTAACATTCCATACAACTAACTATACCAGTTTTTTCCTATTATTTCTCTCAGTCCTGATAAGGAACAACAATGACAATACAAGTGATTCTCAAAAAAATTCATCAACAACTGTTACCTTATCCTCTTGTATAATTTTTTCAGTGCTACAGTGACAAAAGATGATACAGTTTACTACAAACACTGTACAACCGGTTAATACAATCTCACATTTGGTATAAAACTACAGTACTTAACAAGAATAAATATCATAATGGACAGCAAAATAATTCCTACATCATTTTGTGTTCTACAAAGCTGAATGGCAAATCACAAGCAATTAATGAGTATGCTATGCTAGTGACTAACTCTGCTTATACCACAGCATGGGAATTCAAGCAGCTGAATGGTAAAAATAATGACATACAAGATTAAAGTGGACTCAACGCACAGAAAATTTTAATTTTTTATGACATCTTTGCACATAACTAGTAATTTTTTTTCCAAATAATGATATACCTACAGTATAACATCCAGGTTTTATTTGTGAGTAAAAGCCACTGGAAGTCTCATATATCTAAAACCTGAGTTCGTACTTCATCATCAAGCATGCTGAAAACATTCAAACAGGCAAAAAAATTATTTGTTTGCAAAAAATTAAGTACAGTGCTGTGCCAGGCTGCATAATACTAATAAACTTTAAGAACACTATCAGTAAGTTTATTGGGGAAATTGGATATAAAAAAATTATTATGAAGAAAAATGTAACAGGAGGACATAGTCTTTGTAAGATAAGAGCTGGTGAATAATGCTGAGGTGCATTATGAGTTGTCTTGGAGATGTTCTCACAGTATAGCTAAAGCTGCCTCCCGAAAGTTGGGAATGCTGCACAGATGCCGTAGCTACTTCACTCCTGAGCAGTTGCTCCAAGTATATAAGGGATTCATTCGTCCTAACTTGGAGTACTGCTCTCATATCTGGGTTAGCTCTTCTTCTGTCCAACTATTAGATAGGGTGGAATCAAAGGCATTTCGTCTTATTAACTCTCCTCCTTTAGTAGACAATCTCTTTTCCCTTTCTCTTCACAGCAATGTTGCTTCACTCTCTCTCTTTTACAGGTACTTTAATGGGCAATGTTTGGTGGATTTGGCATCCTGTGTACCGCCGGCAAGGCCATGGGCTCGTAACACACGTCTTGCCAGCGGTGCTCACCGTTTCTTTGTGGATGTCGGTCACATGAGAATAACCCGTTATAGTACCTCCTTCTTTCCTCACACAGCCAAACTGTGGAATGCTCTGCCTTCTTCTGTGTTTCCATACTTACACAATGTCTCACTTTAAAAAGCTGGTTTCCAGCATCTTCGTGGTGTAGATTAACACAATATCACCTTTTTCTTCTCTATTTTCAATTTCTTCATTCTTTTTCTCCCCCAGGCCCTGTTGTGGGTCGTTTCACCTGTGCCCGGGTGGGCTAATTCTCGTTTAAATAAAAAAAACAAAAACAAAAAAAATGTGCACCTTGAATGATATGTTGTGGCAATAATCTTGTGATCCATTATATATAAGTGACAAGTAGTAGTTTGACTGCTCAACCCCATGAATGTGGCCTTAACTAATCTTCACTTACAAAATAAAAATTCAGATGTAACCCTAAAAACATTCAAACTGAATATCTGGAGGCAACAAGTTAAAGTATCAAGTATGAATGTATGATAAATTTTAAGTTTTAATATGCATTATTTTAAAAAGTTTACCATAATAAAATTACAAGTCTAATTTACAACTGAGGAAAAAGGATTCCATGACTCCCCAAAATGTAAAAATCTGGTTATGGTCACATAATAATGGAAGCCCCTCAAAATCGAGGATGGCCGGCCCAAGGGCCTCCTAGGCGTGAATTTGTTAAGGTGTAGAAGCTGTCGCCAAAACAACAACCACACCCTAAGTTAACGAGCTGCATGACATAGTGTCACAGAATAGTCCGAGAAGACTGGACAGCTTGCCAACTGCACTGGCTAACCATTACCCCGGAATACGATCTGCAAATCGATTAACATCCAGGTTCCCAATTACTGCTGGGTAGACAGTGGCAAATGGCGTAAAGAAACTTGCCCATAGTTTCACCCTGCCCGAGGATTGAACTCGGGTCCGCTTGCTTGCGAGGAAAGGATGCCGACCATTACACCACAGGTAGCATATATAACATATGTGGCATTATGGTAATACTGTAGAAGCTCCAGTCAGGCTATTTCAAAATGTCCTAAAATATATACTAAAAGTCAGTTTAGTATAAACTTCCTCCCTCACATTCTTATCATAATAGAAGCAATTTTCTCATCCCAGGACCTTAGTTTTCTTGCAATACTAAGTTGGAAACAATAACTGTCATGTCAAACAACAAAATACCTGGACTGCATTTCGAAATCTGACTACTATATATTCAAATCACAACGTGCCACATTTTTTAACACTGATCTAGGTATTGAAGATTCTAATACTGAATATATCCCAGCCCAGCTAAAGACCAAAAAGGAGAAAATGAGAAATGTTATGGTGAACAACCCATAAAGCTTCTTTGGAGCTCTAATACTGAACAAGAAATGTATAGATAATAACTAAACTTGTAGAGATATTTGTAAACACAAATCTGCTTCATGAATTTATAATGAACACAGGTGAAGGACCCACAAATTACAGTACTGGCAAAATTAAGAAAACTCCCCCAAACCTGTTCAGTACCGTTATATAAGATACTGTACTGTAATCACCACATAATACCTGTACATACCAGCCCTCTATTCAAGATAATGATGCTCTTTTGTAGCTTTTCACTGTTTTGTGTCTTAAGTTGAGGGTTTAGTAGACTTAAGTTGAAAAAAAAATTAATCATTCCTTCCAGCCAGAGATATGTCACACAGATTTCAAAATTCACTGATCAAAGAGTTAAAGTAAGTTTCTGACTATTCGGAACAATTCAAAATATGAGAGTGGTGACTACTGGCTGGAAAAAAGACACATTCACCAAAGTGAAATAAATATACAGTACTGTCGTATTTAGAACAGACAGCTGCATAATAATTCCTTCAAATAGAAAATGCTTAAATGACATGTGAATGTTTTAAAGAACTTTCATAAATCTCCAACATATTGTTTCTTGGTGCATTACCATTGGCTACAAATGGGATATGAATTAATTTTTATTTGTTGTGATGGTCAGTTAACTCTTCTACCACTATCTTATGAAAATGAAGGAGGCATATTTAATAGTGATGTCAATACAAAAAATAAACCATCACCAGGAGGGTTCTAGGGGTTCAAACGAATCCCTGTGTCTTTTGAAAAATAATAGTGTGTATTGTAATGCTTCAACTTTCACCGAAATGTGCCATTGTTGACCCAGGCAGACAACCGAGATTCCAGACATAATTCAACTAACACATTTTAATACTCTTGGATTTGGGTAGGATGCTAGGCGCTCGGGGTCTGGCCTGTTACTCACCTTATCGCACTTGACTGCACCACATAAGAGATAATTGTACATAATAAAGTGCTAGCAAGCTTGGTTTTTTTTTTAGATAAAAAGGTGGGATCTGTTGCATTAGCATTGTAAATAAATTATCTACAAACAATAAGTAAACACAATAAAATAATTATTTCTATACATAAGCATGAGTAGAACACCAAATTTTTGTTTACTACTAATGAAAATGTTTATACTGTACATCACTTTATACCTTCATTATTTCATGTGATTAAAATATGAACTCAATTCCACTATAAAATGTGCATATTTAGAAGAAAAATTTTTTACAGAAGAAAAGTTGTGAAATAATTAATATTTCGCAAGGTAATAGTGGTGTGAAGTTTGCGTTCTGAGGAGCACACCCAGGCCGAGTACAGATTATTAATTTTTTTTTCCTCCGGGCACAAAAGATAATTGTACATATTGAGTCATAGCACTAGGACTACTTGTTGAAGCAAACGTTCATATATCAAGGGATATCTGTGCAGTATATATATCACGTAATAATATTTACTACTTACTGTAGAGAAAGGAACAATAAAAGATGAAGAAACAGTGTGAGGGAGTCATATGTGCAGCAAAGGTGCAAATATGGATAAATGTGGTACTATGTGAAGTGAAGAGGAGGATTTTAAGTCAATAACAAACAATGATAAATACTTTTCAGCAATGAATAAACATCATGGCCTAAAACTAGTCATCATATACTGTAGTTATTTTAGTTGAACATACAAAAAGCGGCCTTTTTATTTACCGATTCACAATGAAGCAAATAACAAAATCATATGCAAATCCATTTCTCTTACAACTCACTGTATTTTATGACTGTGATGAAAATATAATTTATTATAATGTTTTGTTTACTAATGAATGTTGTATCAGCTGCACAAATTTTAGTCCATGAAAGTTATAAAAATACAGTTTAATTAAAATGTGATGAGTGGTTAAAAATACTGTTAGTAAACAAAGATTTTGAAGATTTAATGTTGCAGAGTAGTGGGGATGAAAACAGTCCACAGACCACATGCAAAATAATAAAAACAAACTTACAGAGTAGGCAGATGGCTTTCCTCGTGGCTTCTTCTTCATTTTGTAAAAAAGAAATAAAAAAGCATGAGCAAAAGTAGTATGCCTGTAAATTAAATATCCTCTTTTTATGAAGAAACCATGTTCAAAAATAAATTAAACATTGAAAAATAACACTGCTATTATCTAAATATGTATATGTTACTCAAGCAAAGGCAAGGCTGAATTACATGAAAGCAATAATATATCTATAAAAAAATTTCATATTCTCATGCAGGCTTAAAATATTCAAATAGTCTAAATCTTGAAAAATTTAAATCATCATGTCAAATATAATGAGCAGCTGCAGTACTGCAAGGATTTTCCATAATGCACTGTCACAAAATGAAGTTAAAACATATACAGTACATACAGTATATTTCTTTATTCATAACTGTACAAACCATTCTTATTTTAGTTTAAAGAGGCACTTATTGCAAACATAACAGCATGGCAAAAAATATAATAACAAATTTCTGTCATACAGAACACAGCTACCACAAAAACATTATATAATATAAGCACACTGGCAACTCAAAGATGAGAGACTTTATGAATGAGTGAAAAGGGGGATTTTAATGACACAAACTTCGTATACATCAAAGTCTTGCATACTTGTACTTCATTATGTACAGTACTTAATGAAAACTAATTTTTACTTTCCAGGTACCCTGTGAATAATATCATATAATTAAATTTGATTCATGGCAACTTAAAAAAAAACTTGCTGTTATGCAAGAAACTCAGGATTGATTAATTATTCATGATCATCATTTTACAGCCATTTTCCATGCTTGTGTGAATTAGCCAAAATTACCTGATGGCAGCTCTCCATGTTGTACAATCTCTAATGTCATTTCCAAGTCTAAATACAAACTTATTGTTATAATGTTTACGCTTCTTAACAACTGGTGGCAACCCCAAGGAATAAGAGTGTAGCCTACTTTGTGACCTTCAAGTGATAAGTGACTGGCTCTGTGCACACATCACCAATAACAGTTTTTAGTGTATCCGTCATAATATCTTGTGTGCCATAATATTGGGTAGAAAAAGCTTGCCAGGAAACCTTTTTATGAGCAAAAGAAAGCAGCTTTGATCGGGATTGCATATAAACCCTTAAGATGTATCAGTGAAAATGTTCGTCCATCTAGCAAGAAAGTTGTACCCATCAACTGCTAATATTTGACATTCTCCTCCCTATTTTTCACTCCAAGGACCTTAGTAAACATATCTTGCTGACACTAAAATCCCACTGTAGGAGAAGATACAGCACAGAAGAGGACTGTAGATTATGGTAGATATATACTGTACAGTGTTCTCATTTTTATGTTTTAATGGATCTTCTCCTACAGTGGCATTTTAGTGTTATGTTTATGTGGTATCACTTTTTTTCAAGTTATATTTTGCCAAGTTTTAAAGTTATGAATAATTCCTTAGTAATTTTCATTATAGTACAGTACTGTACATTCTTTTATGTTATGATACTAATTATTAAACATATAGTAGACTGTACTGTACTTTTTTCCAATTCCTTATTTTTCCTCTTTTATCACAAACTAAATGGGGCCAAACACTGCAATTTTTACATCTTAAATGGTTAAAGGCAAGTACAGTAGATCTCCTGATTCAAACCATCTTTCACATACAGTACTGTGAATGACAATCGCAAAAGTGCCATGTATACTCTGTATATTGTTTTTGCATTTTACTGCTTGCACATCAAGCAAATACATAACATGACTTGCCAAAACATTTTCATGTCATTGCTGACCATCTCCATATCTGTAATGTTTGATACTTGTGCTGAAGAATTTTCAGTGTTTATTTATTTAGTAAAGGAGTGATGAAGGCACAACTTACTTTCACCAAAAACAAAACAGTACAAAGCACGACTAAACAGAGTACAGTATGTCCAGTATTCAACCAAAATGAAGAAAGCAAAAATTATGTCTTCTTTTCTTACTTTTCAATGAAACTGCACAAGAAAAGTCTATAATTAATAAAAATTTGGATTCAAATATAAATAATTTGCAACAAAGAATTAACCAAACAATTAATAAACACTGTAATAACTAATCACTGCCAGTGATGAAGTAAATAATAAGTCTTAAACACTGGCTTCATTATCAAACTTCCTAGCAGAATAAAAAATAAATTTATCTATATTGATGCTACAGATTCAAGTTAAAAATAGTCTTTTATATTAATCAGAAAATTATAATCCCCTTTCACACCCATAAAGGACATATCTTATATCTTAACCAAACAAAAATTATTCAAGTAATTATAGCTACCATGCCTAAAGCCCTCCCCAAACTTCCCATGCAGGATAGTGATCCCTGTGCTTACGTGCTTGCTGCGCATCTGGCCATCACGTCGCAGCTGGCTACATATTTGTACCAGATGATCCAGCTGGTAAAGAAGCTTCTTACTGGTACTGTGAACCTGCAACCATCACCAACCACCACCATTAGTTTAAGACGGCATCACTCAGACCCACAAGTTGGTAAAATTCCCAAGTTCATGACTTGTACATCCAGACAAACAATTTACTGTATATAATTAACATTTCAGCAAATAATGAAGGAAAATGAGATAATTAAAGCTATACTATATCTGAAATAGTACATACAGTATTATAAAAAGATACTTTGCATTAACATCCTCAAACTCTAATTTTAAGTCTTAGTTGCAGAAAACAGTGAAAGTTTTCAAAATTAAAATATCGGCTACATATCTTCTTACTGGTGTGTAAGCGAATGTAAGAACTCAGTCTAAATACAACTATCTTTTTTTCTGAACAAATGTAAATTTTTCTTTTCAAAATATTTAAACAAAACTGGATAAGTTTTCTGGACATACAAATGGATAAACAACTGGGGACACATAAACAGAAGAATAAATCAGGTCACAATAATGCAGTGGGCTCCCTCCACCTGTTGTAAGAAAAATTCAAGATGCCATGGAATAGATGAAGGAATCTCAACTTGCAAGAGGGAGCATCTCAACTACTTTTAGTAAGTAGCAGAGTTATCATGTGAAAATACCATCACCACCCTCAAATTTTCCAGAAAATAGAAATTCATGCTGAATTTACTTTCAAGAAGTATCAAGCTTATTCAGTCACTCTTTCCAATCACGTAATATCTTGATCTTCAACCGTAATCATAAATTCTCTGACAGAACATGTTATACCTCCCATTAAACCAGCAAGACAAAAGACTGTGACAAACCCAGCTCCTCCGCCAATGCCCTGAACTACATCAGTCATAAAACCACTGAAACCTAATCAGCTGTTAATATTTGCCATAAGGAAGAAATCACAGTTCTTCTGAATGATATTCATACAACTGAAAATACAGCTAAGTCAGATTGATTATATAAATTGAGTGATGCATGGACTGTAGATTTCTAAAGGCTTTAAGAAGCCAACCGTTCTAGTTTGAATTAAATCCTATCAATATAAAAAACTCACCACCAATGTTCTTTAAGTACTACTGTCACTTTATTTGAATCAAAATGAAGTGACAAACAAAATATTAATATTTTTTAATTTTGCCTCTGAAGATCTTAAACTTCCTTTCCTATGAGGAAATTACAGTTCTTTAATGTAATTACTCATTTTAACACAGATCTAACATTATTATTACTTTCAAAGTTCTCACAACACATAGCCTGTACTTGTTTTGTTTTACCAGGTAAATTCTGTAGTATCACTTCATTTATGTGGGTCACAACTGAAGTCATTCCACATTCCTTTATACAATCCAAGTCTCAACTTCTTTCCTCAGGCCTCGTCTCCCTCTCTTCACTCTTTAGATATACATTATGGTAATACTGTACAGTATATGTACTGACTATTTCCCACATTTCAAGCAGATAATGTATGAAGAACTGCTCTGAAAAAATTAAGTTACCTACTACTTCAGCATTTTCAAGCCACCAGTAAAATGGCAATACTACACTTGAAATATCTGTCCCTAAAAAAGTCTATATTGCTTGAGCTATTTTATAAGAAGGAAGTTACCAATTGTTTAATCACAACAAATAAGAATGTGCGCTAAAAGAATGAAGTAAAGAATAAGAAATTAAAGGGAAAGCACAAAGGAGAGATGGACAATATCATCTTGTCGAAGGTTGCCTTATGACTATATTGTATATGTTAACAAGCCAAGAAGTTGTGCTGTTGTGTATGTGTGTGTGTAAAATAAAAACAACATAAGGCATCCCTCTTCACTAAAATGACTCTTCCATTGGTGGGTGAGGCAGGTTAGTCCACTGTCAATGAAACTTAAGTGTTATTTCTCTAAATTTTTCTCATTGCTTCATGTATTCCCTTACACTTATATACGGTATATCATCTATATACCATCTATTCAATTGCAGGGAAAATCTTTGAGTAATATTTTTTCTTCTGAATAATAGCCTCAATCTGCATCTTTTATACCTTGTTTCCTTTGAGCCAGGGCACACTCCGGCAAGTAGAATTTTTCCTGAACAGTGATCATCATCATCCCCACACCTCCTACTGTTGAAAATTATGACAATTTACTACACTTGTTGAGGAAGTTTACATTATGGTTCAGCTTTTACATAAATCTAAGGTTTTGATCAACCTTAGGTTCAAGAACTAAATGTACTGAAAAGTATGTAAATATATGCCACCTAGGAGCTAATTTGTTAAGGTGTAGAAGATGTCGCCAACACAACAACCACACTCTAAGTTAACGAGTTGCATGACCCAGTGTCAAGGAATAGTCCGAGAAGACGGGATAACTCTCAACTGCATTGACTAACCATTACCCTGGACAGGATCCACAAACCGATTTACATCCAGGTCCCCAATTACTGCTGGGTAGACAGAGGCAAATGGCATAGAGAAACTTGGCCATAATATCACTCTACACTACTTTATTTAAACCAGCTGTGTTGCGTAGGGGGGCTGAGGAGACGTTTCTGGTTTAGCTAGCTCATGCCATTATGTACTTAGTGGTCTATAGGCTAATATAGGCTAGTATGACATTGCTTTCAAGTCAGGTGGTGGTGGTCTCTGATATTACTGTTCTGGGATGACTGAATTCAAAATTCTCATGGAGGGTTGTGTTCATGTCAACAAAATTTAAGCTTCAAAGGGGGACCCGGATTAAGAATATTGCTGAAAAAAAAACATAATTGAAGCAATCTCAACTAGCCCCTCCTTGAGAGTAGGGAAGGTGTATCAAGAAAAAGGGTTGTCTTCCCTACATAAACAAACAAGAGGAGAAAAACTATTTATATAGGAAACAATGAGATATAGAGGAAACAAAGAAACAATAAGATCTAATAAAGAGGAAACAAGGAAACAATAAGATCTAGTAAAGAGGAAACAGAAACAATAAAACAGTATTCAGTGAAAGGAGATCAAATATGAGAGAGCGGCACACCGCAGGATGATGTTGTAGCGTGATTGTGGCAACAACAAGAGCCAGTCCATCTGAATGTGTGCATTTTATGACTGCAATAACTTGCATCTTTATATTTGTTTTGCTCAACAAAACTGAAAAAAATTTGAAATAAAGAACTTGTATTCTCCTTCTTCATGGCTATCAGTCCACCAACAAGGCCAAAGTCCAACAGTTAATGGGGTATGAAAGCAGCTATAATTGAAAAAAATATAACTGTTTTAGTAACTACTGGTACATTTTTTTTAGATTTACAAACTTCGGTAACTTTTGAAGTTCTGGTAATTCTCAACAAAGTTAGCTGCTTTCTCCCAATTAAGAAAAGAAAATAATGGTCCCAAAGGTCTTCCCCATCATGCTGCACAAGTGCACAAAACTTATTTTACTTCCTACTGGGAAGAGTTCAGCTGATGCATGAACATTTCTGACAAGACTGTCGAGTCCATTTAGTAACGCCTGGTAAGCACTGTGTAGCTGAAAGTGAAAACTCATATCAGGCATACTATCATCAACAAATGTAAGTTGTTATTAAATATATTGATATCATATCAAAGTATTTATACACTGTATTCCTATACTGTACTGTACTACTGAACATTATGGATAGCTGCATATTAGAACAGCTAAGTGACAACTGGTCTGATAGCTTTTGTAACAGGGTACCTTCTGTCGTTACAATACATGCACACGTAAATGTTCACACTACTCTCTCTCAAACACATACGTAAGCTTGTTCACACAATACTCCCTACCCCCCTCCTCCCCAAAAAAGTATCCAATAAGCCATTTGTATATGGCAATGTAATGTCATCAGCAATAAAATCAGACAAAGGGGATATTTTGAAGATACATTAAACATTAAAACGTACAGATGTTGCAAAATTATTAAAAGTACACTGTATCAGTGAATGTAAGACAAAAAAAAATTGTTTAGGAAGATAAAAAATAAAAACTATGAAAGTATAACAAAAAGGAAAATGTGTTTGTCAAACATATCAGCTCCCACCACTTAACCATTAAACAACAGGCAAGGATTCACCATCAAATGGACAAAAACCAGAATGCAAGGAACATGTTGCTGGCCAGTGTTGAAGGGTCAAGTTCTACAGTAATTAAGTTTTAGTAACAGTATCTATTCCTCCAGTCTTCAGATAGTTTACAGAGGTATTTAGGAACACTAAAGTATAGGTGAGCTTGTGACCTTGAGTATTGACTTCCCTGCAAAAATTAATGTGCCGGTGTGGAGCAAATCTGAATCTAATGATGTGTAGAGCTTTCCGAGTAGTATCGGATTCTGTGGCGGAACTTTGGTTAATATCTAATCATCCAGTTATGATATACAGTAATATATATATATATATATATATATATATATATATATATATATATATATATATATATATATATATATATATATATATATATATATATATATATATATATATATATATATATATATATATATATATATATATATATATATATATATATATATATATATATATATATATATATATATATATATATATATATATATATATATATATATATATATATATATATAAGTCGGGGAGTACCTGTATAATGTATTTCATGGGGCAAAGGGAGGCTCAGGACCGTAACTCTTGTATTTTATCTATTTCTTATGGGGAAAATTGATTCCGTTAACACTGCGGTTTTCAGGAATGGAACCACAATGTTAGCGAGGACTTACTGCAACTCTTAACGTACATCAAGTAGGAAATGCTGCCAGAAGGCGAGAGGGTACATAAATGCACTGAGAACATAGAGAGATGTAAAGTACCAAAGGACTACTATTTATAGTACTTTACAACTTTTAAAGCAATGGGCAGTGTTGATGATATACCAGGCATTGTGAGAAAAAGAATATTACATTTTCTCTATGAAATACTCTTGAGGGTCCATGAAAGAAAAGCCTCTAGACTGTCTATGTAGATACAGTAATCCTCTCTAGCTTACTCCATTACCCTTATGCCATCCTAAAACATCTCCCTCTGATTCTATCCCACTTAACCTTCCCAAGTTGCTACATGAAGGCAGTTGATAAATTTCTAGAGAATTATTTAATTCAAATACTGTACTGTATGATCAATGGTAAAACAAAGATAATCACTCCCATTACCATGAAGTACATAGTCTGTGCAAGCAGGAACAGAGACAGTAAAATGGACACTGATTGAATTTTAAGCATCCTAGTAAGTTGGAAGAGGTGAATATGGAATAAATTTTAAATGCCCTCTCTGTACAGTACAGTACACCATCCTTCATTGAAAACCCTTATTTCACTTAACATACCTCAAAGGTACATAATGGTGGGTTGAAACATTTCTTCAAATGAAAAAGAATACTACTGAATCTTCCAGTCATATTAAGTTTGGTAGAACCATACCATTAAGTTAACTACTAACTCACCACAGTACTGTACACATTGAATTAATAGTTAATAATTTAAATGGAAATTTTAGTGTTAAATTCCATAATACAATGATTATAATCACACATGTAAATAGGAAATACTTATGCACTACAAGGCACAAGCTCATCATTATGTAAAGCTACAATACTTTAACAATACAACTAAACTAGTTTATCAATACAAAGTCCCCTTTTTACTGTTAAGACTTTATGCTAAATCCTTTGGTAAGGCATATATTCACTTGATTGAACAAGTAAGGGTAAATTTTATTAAATTAACAGGCATTCATCTTACTCATCAAACCAATTTCCTAATTTCCAGAAATTATCATAATAACTTTCAAAAAGCCTCAGTCAACCTATCATGAATTCAATGTACAGTACTTAAAAAAATATACTATGTTAAAATTTCACTACCTACCTCAGTGTAAGCTTGGCACATGGTCTCATAGAGTGACTGGTGGTGGTGGATGGAGGACTCCAGGGTCAGGATATCGGTGGGTAAGGCAGTAACTTTACAGTTCTCTACCCAGGTAGGTACACTTTCAATATACTGCAAGAAATATAATTATTAATCCTAGTGTAAATGAGTCATCAGTCATATAATTGTCTATTTCCTAATACGTTTCCAATTTCCACACAGGGTGGCCAGATTCAAGACCAACAAAGATTCTCTCATTCACTGTAACTCCAGTTATGGTGTATCATCCAAAACAATATAAATCACACAGTTAGTCACCAAGATTCAATATTTTTTTGCAAAACAAAACACCAGCTATTATTATTATTAAAGATAAACCAGATAAAAGTTTATACTCTGAAACTAATCCTCAGGAGAGAATTTATTTCTTTGTGCAAGTTTTCTTCAGTGAAAACTATGCCAAATGTGCTGTGCATACCCAAAATCCCTTAAGCACAGTGTATATTTAAACAAATATCACTAAAAAAATCCACAATGAAGTCGAGTTTAATCTACATAAACAATTATTGTTTCTGAAGTTCTGAGAGTACAATTATTTGTTTTGCTCTAAATTAATACTAAAGCTTTTAACCCTTTTGATGCAATTTCCGCACTTTAAAATTTTATTCTGGCTACCGCCAAATGATTTTATTCAGTTTAGGGGAACCTCCTGCAGCCAAAGGGTTAAAGGACTAAACCTGTCATGAAAATGTCTAAAAACATGTATACCGGTATGTGTACAACACAGTACAGTACTGCGCTACAAAATCCTCCATCAGACAGAGGTTAACAGATTTGGAATTTCCACATTCTATTTTGACTACAAGGGTTATAATTATCACATTTACCTAAATAAAGACTGATACAAAAGTGAACAATTTCTTTCAATATTCATCAACCTATTTATGCATAATAAAATAATGTACACTGTAAATTTAAATCAATAAGAAAAAATTAATTTGAGTGTCCAATGGACTAAAATTATCATGTTAATCCTGAGGGTCTGATTCAAGTTAAAAAAAAAAATCATTACTTTCTCTTCCTACCTGCTCTGCTTTTTGATGAAACATAACAGATAGTGCCAATACTGAAGATCTTTCATCTAATCCAGCAGCAAATTCTTTCCAAACCTGCAAATGTTCAAACAAAATTAAATTAGCAAAGTTCCACATTCTACACTGAATTAAAAACTATAATTATCCAGTTTTACAGTTACACCAAGACATTGTTTATCTAATTCTTGTAAGCCCTTTAACACTTCAGTATACAGGTATGCCCAAAAGGAAACACAAAAATGTAAAAACAAATAATTTCAAAGACTGTTGGTTCTAAATTTTAAGCAAATCTGTGACAAAACTGTCATATATTTGGCCTGAAATAATATGCAGTACCCCTGTGAAGGCAAATTATAAAAATAAACTATAAAAGGCAATAAAGAGATTGGCTATTTGACAATATAACAAACAGAAAAGATGTATTGTTACATATTTCATGTATGTAATACAATACAGTGAGAGTACCGGTAATCTTCACTGGTTATAAAAAGCTTCTTACCTGGTCTAATTTGGCCGCTACATTTCCGATGTGTTGAGCTGCATAGTGACCACTTTCCATAAGTCTGGATGCTACACTTAGTATTCTATTGATGTTCATGTACACTTTCTGTTGATGAAGAGAGAAATCATGCTGTGTATCGGTTTCCAATACAGTTGTACCCCGCTTTACGAGGTCAATTGAACCCACAGGGTACTGCGTTAAGTGAAAACCGCGTTAAGTGAACAACAGAACATATGGGATTAATTCCAATAGAGACTGGCCGGACCCCCAAACTCCACTTTTTGACGACACACAACTATGTTGTAGTAAAAATTTTATCTTAACTTTATGATGGTATGAACAAACAAGTAATATAGAAGAGGTTAGGTTAGGAAAAATAAAGGTTAAGTTAGGAAGAATAAAGGTTAGGTTAGGAAAACTAAAAGTTAGGTGTAACACTTACGTTAGTAGAAGAGATGGGTCGGCATACGGGGAGGGAGGCGGAGGGGAGGGAGGCAGAGGGGAGGGAGGCGGAGGGGAGGGAGGGAGGAGGAGGAAGGAGAAGCGAGGCAAGCAGCAGGCGGGAGCGGGTGGCGCGAATCTAAAAATAGTGTCTCGAGCCGGACACTCTGCGCGTATATGGGTAGAAGAACCGCGTTAAGTGAAAGTTCGGTTCTGGCGAGGCACCGCATATATGAGAAATCGCGTTAAGTGAAACCGAGTAAAGCGGGGTACAACTGTACAATTTAATGCTCTTATCGAGATGAAATAACTACAGTACAGTACTGCCTTTTAATTAAAAAAATTGCATCTCTTAAAAATACAAGGTAGAGTAAGCAAGAAAAGAGAAAAAAGAGAGAATATTTTAGACTTTTTATATCTATTGTGATTATACTGATGAAAAACTTTAAAGATAGAAACACAACATAAAAGATCGTATTTTTTCCCCCAAACTACACCAATTTTCATCATAATTAATACACACTCTTTCTTTTTGTATCCACATCTATGCAGACACACAATCTAGTCACCATTACAGTATTCTCTCCTTCACAACAACCTCTCCATTATTTGCCTCTTGCCACTCATATTCAGTACAGCATCAATGGATAATCAACAGTACAGTATATATCATATTATACACTGAACCGAGTTTTCATTATTTTTGCACAATTTGCCAAGTACAGTACTGCACATTAACCCTGTAAACGTAAATAAACCGATTGGGAGCCCCATTGCCTGTATACTATTCAAGTATACATACAGTATCTTTTAGCCTATTTTTTAATAAGCTGCTCTTTCAATTTTTCGGTCACAAACAAACTAACATGATCATATATTTTAATCCACATTTCTCTTAAATGTTAATAATTTCATAAAATCTCTGCCATATAATTAACTTATAACAAATCATACTTGTTCAGGTGCAGATCCAGGAGGGGGGTTTCCTGGGGGTCCACCCCCACCCCCCTTTTTCATCAGAAAATTCCAATAGTGTACTACTTTTTCTTTAATGCAGTATTGTACTCAGGCATTTTTGTGTAGTAAAAGGTAATTACTATTGACATCACAATATCTCCTAATAGCAAGTGCACATGGCTTCAAAATGCCCATGATATCAGTCAGATTTAAAAAAAAATTGGGAGGGCTTACAGCACCCCCTCCAGCTGGGTGGGTTCGCTTTATATGCTATGTTCCCCCACCCACAACTTCTTGGACAACCCCCCCCCCTTTTTGATATTTCTGGATCCACCCCTGTTGTTACTCCATGAGGGTGGGTAAGTGAGAGCTTATATCTTTAATGTGTACATCCATTCTTTTCAATTGCAAAAAAAGTAATTTCATACATACTGTATAATGCAGTGGTGATCTTTATCATATCTGCAATCTTTTTACATGTACCTAAAATGAGACATGGTTTATAAGGGAAAGATGCAGAGCACAAAACATGACCAACTTACCTGACAAGCAACAGTGAACTGGGAATGAGCCTCTTGAAGATCTTTGGATACTTGGTACGAATGACCTATTTCTACATAATTGACTAGGAACTCTTCACGGTTATGGTACACCCAATCGAACATCTGAAAATTAAAGGCTTTTCATTACAAACATTTTTACCTTAAAGCATTAACAAGACAATTCCTTACCAAGATATCTAAACCTTTAGATTGCCTCCTTTTAAAAAGTGCCCAGAACCTAAAATGCTTCAAGAAATTTTATGAAGATGCCTCTATACTAGTTATTTTACTGTACTATCTCTAGATAAAGGACAAGGTCAGGTAGTACAGGCATTTTTTTGCAACCTATTCATAGTTAGGTTCAGCCAACAACTTTATGATGAGGTGTCCGGCTGAGAATTATTGTACCTGTCCTATGCACAGTATACCTAAATGTGTAAATAGTACTGTATTGTACTTGTCTCTGAATAAAGTAGCTGAATCTATACAAATGGAACACTGATCACTCACCTTCTCTACATCTTGTTCAAAAAGTCTGAGCTGGAAGCACTGATCAAGCCTCATCTTTTTATGCTGCCACAGCTGTTGAACATGCTGCTGCGCTTGATGTACAGACTCCATTAAACTTAGAATCTGTTTAGAAAATGTCCAAGCTAAGAAAAAACTTATACATATGGAAATATAAACCAACTGCAAGCTTTTTTTAAACCTGATTGCTAACTGTAAGATGCCATGTCTGAATGTAGGCATTTAATTTTTAAATTTACCATAAATAGACTATCAGTGCATTACTGAAACAATGGATTATCAGTGATACACATATGCAAGGCAGCAAAATTTATCAAAATACAAAGTTTGACATATTTCACAAATTATTGTCTTTGAGCAAATATCTGCTGTCGGTGTTTTCATTAAGGGCTGTTGACAGTCAACCTACGGTGCTGCAAAAAAAAAAAAAAAGCCTCGCTTTACAGATTAACAGACTTATTACCCATAAAAATTATAATCCAACTGTATACTGTATAATAAAAATCCAGTTCTAACATGGATTTCTTTAACCCAGCATAGAAGGCAGCTTCCGCTGACAACATATTCATTCGCCTATGAGGACCTGGCAACTCTGGCATCTTTTGATTACTGCAGTTTCTTTAATACAGGTAATTAGAAAAAAATTAGCATTTCAAAAAATGCCAACTTACTGACTTACTGACTAGAGTATCAATCTTTACCATTATTTCATTTTACAACTACAGTACTGTACAATACTCTCAATTTACTAAAAGATCTCTAAATTCAAACACTTAAAACTAATAAAACAACTTCATCTAAAAATTTAAGTATTCTAAGAAATATTACATTACATAGGTGTAAATGAAAAGTGTCTCAGCTGAACGTCACAGAGCTTAAATATAAGTGAAAGGAATCTTTTATAGTCATAGATGAATAGCAGTGGAAATATGTATAATAAGCTGAATGCATGTGTAAAGATCATTTCAAATCAAATTAAATATGGTAGATCTACAGAGCTACATCTTTGAAACTTTATTTTGTTGTTCTGCGATGATCTCTGAAAAGTTTAGTCATGACAGAAAAGTCTCCAGGCCATCCTTTCTAAACTTATTTCCATAGTTTATCTTATTCCAGGTTCACCCTCATAACACCTTTGCTCTTTGACTAACATTCTATGGACAGTACATACATCTTCATATTCTCAACACTGTATGATGGCTGCCTTCACCTCACTCTAGTCCATTTTATCTTACCTTCATGTATCTTTCCTGTCATTCCCGTCTCCAACAACCAATTTACAGTCGAACCACTTTCTGCTAATTTTTCAACCCACGACCTGATACTGTACCTCACAATTTTTACTTTCTCAATTTTCCTCCTTCCCTCATTCCCTTCACTTTATGTAATTATCCGATCTGCCTGTTAAAAACACACATTCCTTAAGAAGTTATTTTAACAATCTAAATTCATGAGCTGTCAGTTCCAATTTGAGTCAACTTTAACAACAGTAGATTGATTCTGGAAGGAGTATGCTGTATATTAAGCCTACCATTTATTATCAACGTACTTACAAAATACCTTTTCATAATCACCATCAATTCAATAATCTTGCATCCCTCTGTCACTCTCTCCCCTTTTTTGTTCAATATTAATCCCAAGGATCTACACACTGACTTCTTTCAACATTTCACTATTTATCCACATCTTACAGTTCAGAAATATGCTTTCATTAATTTTAAGTGACACAGCAGTCTTCCACTTTACTCTTTCTACTCTCAGAACCAACAAACTTATTTCATATTCACCTCCAGATTTCTTATATTACGTACTGCAATTGACAGGTTTATAAAATATGCAATTCCTCGTTATTCCCTACCAAGGTACAGTACTGCACTGTGAGCCAAGGACCAGCTTTTCCATCCAATTACTGTAAAGTGATCCCTTCATTTCCAATTCTTTAACTTGAAAGCTATTAATTTTATAATTATGAAAATATTTTAATTCAGGATACTTTTTAGTTGTTTATATTAAAGTATGCATATATGTTTATAGCTTAATTTATGTTTACTGTACCAGGTGTCAGGCATCTCAGAAATCTGATCAAATTAGCCAATCCTGTCAATAACATAATAATTTTCAGCCATATTATTGTTAAATTTGTGTAATTTATCCATATACTAAAGCTTGGCAATTCTTATTCAGAGTATGCATAGAGCATAGATCCTGACATCTTCTACTTGTAAAGACAACATTAGTTTTTATCACTATCTAATAATAAATGTGAATTAATTTATTTTTATTTTTATAAACAATGGACCCAAGTCCAATCATGATGCAACGATAATACCATTAAAGTACTGTATACAGTACTGTACAGCATTAACCTCCCGGGAGATACGTCTGATACCCTGGGATATGGGGTGGTAGAGAAACCAGCTGTGCGTGCATTATGATAAATAACACAGAGACATTGATCACACTAAAAGTTTAACATAAATAATTGATTTTAAATGTAGGGTACTACTCAATAGGCCATGCTGATGATATAAGGAACTTACTTTCATCTGATGTTACCTGACAATTCTACAATTACACCTATATGATAATCACTTCAACTCCAATGTAAATAGCCTACTTCCTGGGGTTCTGCAATATAGCAAAGAATGCAACTGCATTCACATGTTACAAAAGTAAGTTCATTTCACAGGTACAGGTGAAGCATTTATTCCGTGTAAACATATACAGTAGTTGTTCAGTAATTTGTCAGCAAACTAATTTCATATCTGTTAACTTAATGCATCACTATTTTATGCACCACACTGGGCTATGCAGCCAACCCATTTTAATGCCTGGGAAATGATAATATCAAGGTTGCACAGTTCTTACCTGTGGAATACTGTTTTGAAAATCTGGGTTATTTAGTATGAGACTTGATGCACTATCACGGCCCGAATACCCAGAGTCATAGCCACTTCCCTCATCACAGTTTAATCTGCAATAAAACAGTTTTTTAGCATCACAAAAATTTTCTATTATCTTTAAATCAAGTTTCAAGGTAAATCTTGACTAAGTTCACTCTCTAACTTTACACATTTCGTTCCTATCAATGACCGCAACATAAGAACTATAAAACAAATTAAAAATCAGAAATTTACTGTCAATTGGCTTGTCTCCATTTCCTTTTACTATCATACATAAGCCACCATCATTAAGTGTGGTTTCATTATTCCTCTGGTATAAGCTAAGAAAGATACACTAACAGCGAGGGGAGAGAGACATCCAGGAAACATCAGTGTGCCTGTGTGAAAGGTGAGGGGCTTGACGTCAAGTGATTTTGGGAAGGATGTGAACTGATGGGTAAACCAAATATGGGGCCATGTCATAAAAGGGGATTACCACAGAGGAACACATCTACATTAGTAAGAATGGATGACAATGAACAAATAATGAGTGTGCATTTCTACTTGCTTCCAACCACCCTACATTTAATAGAAGGCTTAAAAAATCACCACTAGCTCTGCATAGCTTAAGTCATCTACTAAATGCCATCTACATCAACCTTTGTAATAGCCTCTGACCCATCATGTCCAGGTCATGAACAAGGCTACCGGTTACTTTTTGGTGCATTTCTTTGTGACGCTCAATGGCTCTTTTAGCACCATTGACATCATCAGCAAAGTCACTTTGTTGAAGTTCATCCCTGACATCCTCTAACTGATCCAGATGTTCATTAGCTTGCCAGGTAAAATCTTCAACTGCTAACCGGAGCTCAATCCACGTGTTGTGGTCGTATGGTAGAGTTCCATCAAAGTCAATTGTTAACTGGCTAGGATCTATTGTCTTGGCTAGAGTCTCTACACTTATTAAATTAGTCTGAAAAAGAAAAGAGTAGGAGTTAAATTCTTTTTAATTTTCAGTCTACAGATTTATTAACACAATATACAACATTTGACTGCCATATACTTGTACAGTTGTTAATTTCAGGGTACTGAAAGTTGAAATTAATTACAAAATGTAGAGTTCTTCAATTTGTAATTCATAAATATCATTCTACAATACTAGAATTATAGTATTGTAAATGAATATACCCAGCAATGACTTTATAACACATGGCCAGTGCACTCACCTCAAACTTGTACTTATGACTGCCTATACTGGTTCGTTGTTTCTGCCAAAAATTGTCAGGTTTCACTATGTATACTGTATATATGTGTGGTGTAAAACTTTCAGCCAGTTCCTTCAATATGGGTTTTACAGTGTTCCAAGTTGACCCTCGCATATCATATCACTGTGAAGCCTGCTTCTCGTGACTTCATCACTGTGGGAAAGAGAGGGAATGTATAAGTAGTTTTTCAGGCCTATCACCATGACAAGAAAAAATATGCATACTTTAATTTAGTTACCAATGGCCTTCATCCATTATATTTAAAAAATAAAATCAATGTCACATTTGATGCTTAACAAAGAGGAAAGCAGTGAAACTAAATCCGAAAGTGTCTAATTTGGGAAAAGCCATAATTGACTACACATTTACTCATCTTCCCTATAAAGAACACGAAATATAATTAATAGGAAAGTAATTACTAATGAATTTTTTCCTTCTACAAAACTTACTGAGAACATTCACCAAAGAGGCACAAGGACAAAATCCCGCATATAATCATTAATGTCGGTCTGTCAATGTGGAGTTAATGCGTGACACTCACTTGGGTATCTGCATGAGGTACTGCAGCAAGGGACGGTAGTCATCGTGTTTAAGACGGTCCCACAGTACTGGCAGGGAAGGTGAGAATGGACTGGCCGCTGGTCCCGTCCCCCAGACAGAAAGGCCACCTTCTCAGCAAGATGGTCATCACATCTACCAAGACCGTCCATCCGTTTTGGAACTGCAATTAAGAACAATAATTTAAGTAATGTAATTCAGATATAACCCAAGAAATAGATATTTATTAAAATATATATGTTTCTGTTTCTTCTGGGATCACCAATCACTTAAAACACCCATACACCAGCACCACACCACAGCCATATATCCACACTAACACAAAAAACGCATATTCACACACCAGCGTCACACCCACACATCAGTACCATACCCACATACAGTATCACCACCACATATGTACCCCCATCACACACACACACACACACACACACACACACACACACACACACACACACACACACACACACACACACACACACACACACACACACACACACACACACACACACACACACACACACACACACACACACACACACACACACACACACACACACACACACACACACACACACACACACACACACACACACACACACACACACACACACACACACACACACACACACACACACACACACACACACACACACACACACACACACACACACACACACACACACACACACACACACACACACACACACACACACACACACACACACACACACACACACACACACACACACACACACACACACACACACACACACACACACACACACACACACACACACACACACACACACACACACACACACACACACACACACACACACACACACACACACACACACACACACACACACACACACACACACACACACACACACACACACACACACACACACACACACACACACACACACACACACACACACACACACACACACACACACACACACACACACACACACACACACACACACACACACACACACACACACACACACACACACACACACACACACACACACACACACACACACACACACACACACACACACACACACACACACACACACACACACACACACACACACACACACACACACACCACACACACACACACACACACACACACACACACACACACACACACACACACACACACACACACACACACACACACACACACACACACACACACACACACACACACACACACACACACACACACACACACACACACACACACACACACACACACACACACACACACACACACACACACACACACACACACACACACACACACACACACACACACACACACACACACACACACACACACACACACACACACACACACACACACACACACACACACACACACACACACACACACACACACACACACACACACACACACACACACACACACACACACACACACACACACACACACACACACACACACACACACACACACTATAACATCCTGACCACCGAAGTAAGACGTATCTTGGCGCTCTTCGGAGCAGCCAGGTCAACTGTTAAGCTTGGCCCATACCAACTCCCTCCCTGAACCCTCCCCACCGAATATCCGTTCTCGCCACAAGTTACAATTTCACTTAGGAAAGGAATGGAACCAG